TATCCGAATAGAATCTTGATATGCAAGAACCAAGGTCAAGAAGTCATTAGTTAAAATATCCATATCTAGCAAATCAAGATTTTATATATTATTTTATTAATAATATATTATTTTATTAATAATATATATTATTATATCAAATAAAATAAACTAAAGAAATAAAATTTAATGTATATTTTAACTATTTTTATATTTTTCAATAAACTTTATTGATTTTTAATTTTAAAATTAATCATTAACTTAAAAATTTTAATCACATAAATTATCTTTGTAAAATTTAAAATTATTTAATATCTTATTTTACGACATAAAATTTAAAGTAATACATACATTCATGTATCATTATATATAAATTTGACTAGTAAGTCTTAAAAAATTATTACAAAGTATTCCAACTTCGCATATATTTTTTTTGCATAACTTCTTTTCAATTGCAACTTTTATTAGGAACATGAAGAATCTCATGGATGTTTGTTAATTGGCTGCATAAACATACCAAGCTATTCATCTTCTCTCTAATCACATTCTCTACCATAATATTTCTTATCCATGTATATAGTAATATTTACCATGATTTTCTACACTTTAAGGCTATTACAAGAGAAACAGAGAAGTTGCAAGTTCACAATCATAGCAGCAGAGAAGGAATAAGGTTAAGACTTACCCACGTACCTTCCACTTAAGAGAAGGATGAAGCAGAAACAAATCAGAATGCTCTAATTGCTCCATTGAATGTCACAGAAGAAGAAAGAATAACTTGATTTTGAGGACACCTACATAAATTCAAGATTCTCAATTTCTCATAATTGTATTTGGAACATGTTACCCATATGTGAAAGTACATCGTTATGATAATATAAAGCATTCAGGTTTATCTTGATAGCTGACACTGTTGCTAAAGGGCATGTTGTAGTGATAATAAAAAAAACTCAAATTTAATTGAGGCAATTATAGTTGGACATAGCAGCAGAGAAGGAATAAGGTTAAGACTTACCCACGTACCTTCCACTTAAGAGAAGGATGAAGCAGAAACAAATCAGAATGCTCTAATTGCTCCATTGAATGTCACAGAAGAAGAAAGAATAACTTGATTTTGAGGACACCTACATAAATTCAAGATTCTCAATTTCTCATAATTGTATTTGGAACATGTTACCCATATGTGAAAGTACATCGTTATGATAATATAAAGCATTCAGGTTTATCTTGATAGCTAACACTGTTGCTAAAGGGCATGTTGTAGTGATAATAAAAAAAACTCAAATTTAATTGAGGCAATTATAGTTGGAGAAATATATATCAAACATGCTAATGTTTATGAGAGGTATCATATTGGTCTTATTATAGTAAACCACAACTAACTCAACAAGTAGTGCATGAATTTTCTTCCATGATATTGATTTTCTATCTTTACCAATAGCTAAAATCCTATACTAATTGCAATTTCTCCATATTTTATGTAAACAAAACACAATCATAACACAATTACAATTTAAAATCATAGAGCAATTTAAACTTATTAGAATCTAAATTTTACACATCTTTACAGAATGAATTCTGGCAACATCCTGATAGCCTAACCACCCAAGGATTAGTCATAATGAGCCACTATAATACTCAATGGTTTACCAAATGCTCAAGACAACATGCTCCATTTCAAATAATCTCGTCATGGGTGTTTTTTTTTTTTTGCTTACATTAACGTTAGCAAAAATATATTTTTATAAGCTGAAGAGAGAGACAAGAGGAAGCACTTGAATATAACAAAGGAGATGAAGACATGTACAAGGTTTCTTATCTCACTTTACTCATATATATATTTGTATGAATTTAAGTTCTTCCTAAAGCTCTGTGGAGTTAAGACTTTAAGGATTTGAATTGTTGAGTGGGCTATAATAGATGGATCTTTTTTTATCTTTGTAGTGCTTAATGAGACAGAATCCGAATCTATTAAGATAAATTCATAGAATTGTCGAGTTTTATTTGAAGCATAAGGGCTAAATTGAAATCCAGGAGGGAACACTTTAGTTATGGCCTTATAAGGATGTTTGTCCCAGAACTCAGGTTTCATTTGAATAATTGAAAAAAAATTTCCTTTGGCTATATAGTGGTTTGTATTTGGAGTGGTTTGTATTTGGAGCTTTTTGCTTTTCTTTTGATATATTGATGGCTTTATTTGTTTCTTCAGGAAGACTAATTGTCTTCTGGGATTGATTGAAAGACTAGATTATAGTGTTTAGACTAGCTAAATCTATTTTCATATCATCTTCTGAAGCAATATCTGCCCAAGATTTTTTAGGTAAACTATTCAAGCTTCCTTGTTAGACAGGTAGAAGAGTGCTAATGGGAAGAGCATAATCTGCCTTGGTTTATTTGGATATTTTGGATTGGGTTTGTGAAGAATCAACCTTATTGGATGAGTCTTTTTTAGGAATCACAGATTGCTGAGTAGATGACTCTACAATCTGGATAGCATTCTGGGTAGATGACTCAGCCGGAGTTAATGACTCTGAAGAATTAGAACTGAAATTTGCAGAAGCAAATTTTAATTTTCTGTTGAGGGTTAGAGCAAGTCTGACTCTTCCTTTATGGGCAGTACCTCCCCTAGAAAGGGCTATTGCTTTTCTAGGCATGTTATTTATCCTGTAAGAATTCACGAGTAAGATAGTCAGGGAGGAAATTGGAAGCGCCTTTGAGATATTCTATGTCAAAAATCAAATACACTTAAAATTGCTTGTCATCTTGCAAAAATTTGTTTTGCTGCAAGGTTTTTAACATCTTTTTGTAAAATTTCTTTGGCAGGTTTACAGTCTACCCTGATGAGAAATTTTTGATTTAATAAGTTTGATTGAAATTTTGAAATGCATAAAACAATTGCTAAAACTTCTTTTTTAACAGTTGAGTAATTCTGTTGTGCAAAATTCCAATGTTTAGAAGTGTATGCAATGATATGCTCATTGGAATTGACTCTTTGTTTGAGAATACCACCATAACCAACTTCAGAGGCATCAGTTTCAACAATTTTAAAAGCTTGAGGAATAGGGAGATAAAGGCAATTTATCTCTCTTACTCTAGATTTAATTTCCTTGACGACATTGGTATGAATATTAGTCTAAGAAGAAGGATTCTTTTTAAGCCTATCATGTAAGGGCTTAATGATATTATTGAGGTGAGGAATAAAATCTCCTACATAATTGAGACATCCCAAAAATCTTTGTAACTGGGTTTTATCAAAGATTCTGTCAGGAAATTTATTAGCAAATTCAATAGATATGCTAATGGGAATAATAGTTCCTTGATATATATTGTGACCAAGGAATCTGATATTTGTTTGGAACAGATTGATTTTTTACTTTGAAACAGCAAGACCATTCTGTTTGATAACATTGATAAAAAAAAATTATATGTTTAAAATGTTGATCAATAGAATGCGAGAAGATTAAAACATCATCAATATAGATAATAAAAAATTTGGAATAAGGATTGAAAATATCATTTATCATTTTCTGAAATTCAGTAGAGGAATTTTTTAAACCAAAGGGCATTAAATTTCATTAGTATTGCCTAAAAGAAACAGTGAAGGCAGTTTTTTATTTGTCTTCTTCACAAATTTAGATTTGTCAAAATCTAGATTTCATATCAAATTTTGAAAAAATCTTAGTAGAATTAAGTCTATTAAGATGGTCCTTTTTGTTAAGAATAGGATATCTAATCCACTGAAAGGCTTGGTTGAGAGGCTTGTAATTAATTACTAGCCTAGGAGTACCTCTTTTTAATTTTTCCTGTTTATTAACATAAAAAGTAGAGCACGACCAGAGACTCTTACTTTTCTTAATAAGTCTCTTATATAAGAGGTCTTTAATCTCTTTTTGACAATATTAAAAGAGTTCCTTATTCGTCTAAATAGGTCTCGCTTTAGTAGGAATTTTGATTTCTTTAAAATCTGACTCATATGGAAGATTTACAATATGTTTCTTCTTATTCCAAAATGCGTTTAGAAGGTAAGAACAGATAGAAGATTAGATATGTCCTAAAAGAGATTGAATCTTCTTCAGAAGTGATGGATTCTTTAATTGCTTATCAATGTTAGCAAAAGAAACTTCTTCTTTCAGAAAATTAATTTGGTTAATTTTATTCTGGATAAAATTAATATTTTTAATAAAAGGTTTACCGAAAAATTTAAAGATTATCTGCTTACCTAAATGATAAGTAGAAATTCCTTCTTTTGAAATTTGAAGTGGGAAAAGAGCTCTAATAAAAAGAGTTTCTAGAAAAACTTCGTTCTTTAAATGTTTAACAAGAAGAATGTTTGTTTCAACTTTAAACCCTTAGTTTTCAATAATAGCTTTAGATAATTTATAATTAATCTTAAGCTTGGAACCGCTTGCAGTACTAAGTTTTTTAGAAGTTTTTTCAAAGTATTCAGTAGGAATTAAACCTTCAAAAATACAGTTTGAATCAGCACCAGTATCAAAAAGTGCTAAAGTATCAAGAACAAAATCATCAATAATGATTCTGATTTAATGTAAAATTTCTGAATTTTGACCTTGTTAATCAAATTCATAAAAATTTATTCTGACTCACGAGAATCTTTTTTCTCAGAATCATTCTTTTCAGAAATTTTTTCTTCAACAACTTCAAAATCATCATCATCCTCAAGTTGCGAAAGAATAATTTGATAAATTTGTTGTTAGTTTTTAATTTCATGAATCTCCTTCTTGAGGTTATTAATCTCAATTTGAAGATCCTGAATAGTAGTAGGTTTAGTACTAGAGCTATTTTCTAGTTTTTTGAAAATACTTGTACTATCAAATTTGTTTGCACTAAAGATTTCTTTTGGTTTTTGTTTTGTTTCTAAAACATCTTTAAATTTATTTTAAAAAAATTATTTCTTGGTGATCAGAAATGAAATTAATAGCTTCAAAAAGAAGATCTTGTTCTTTCGTTAAAACATTGATTTTAGGAATTTCATCACTATCAGAGGAAGAAATTTGATCATCCTATTGAATCTGATTAATATCTTCATTAGTATCTTTAGCAAAATCTTCATCAGAAGATTCAATGAGAAGATTATTAATTTGATCTTCCATCGAAGGATCAAGATTTAGATTATTAATTTTTTTCTTCAGCCTACAATATTTACTGATATGGCTGAGTTTACCATAGTTGTAACATGTTACACCTGTTCTGAGTTTTCTAGGGATATTGCTAGGGATGACATCTTCCCTATGCTTTTTAAGAGGCTTTCTATTGTACTTTCTTTTGTAAGGTTTTTTGTGAGACTCATCAGTCTCTTTCTTATGAGTTTGTTTCTTCTTTTTGATAGAGCAAGAAGGAAGACCAAATTGCTCGCAAAAAGAACCTAACTCTTTCTTGTTCAAGGATTTTTCTTTGGCAAGTTGTTTATGGATTTTGTCTTCAAGACAAACTTTCATGGAATTTTTGACAATAATAGCATTGAGCTGACCATAACTAAAACTTTCATAAGGAATTTCACCATTGATAGAATAACTTCGAAACTTACTTCTAATAAGGTCTCCGAAAGATTTGGGTAACCCATCAAGGAATTTTTCTTTCCAAAAAGGTTGATTACAATCTTCTCTAGTGTAAATTCTAGACATAAAGGTATCTTTGTATAATTTGTAGTGACCTAGGTAGGTACACCTAAGGTTGGATAACAACTCCCCAGATCTTCCTTTCCATAAAGAAGGATCTTCAAGAAAATGTTGAGCTATACAATATAGTAAAGTGTAAACAGCATCAGGAAGTTGCTCATTATTGTTGACAATGGTTTTACCCCTGTCATCAATTTTTACTGCAGAGACAATATGTTCTCTATCAGTTTCAGTAAGATAATTATCCCACCAAACTTTGAGCTGACCTATAAAACCAGCTACAAGAATATAAATAATGGTTTCTTCATCATAATTATTATTAGTGAAGTAACCCATGGCAACAACAGACATATGTTAGAGTTTGGAGATGATATTATATTCAGAAAGTCCATCAATATTCCAAATATAAATTTCATTGGCATTAAAACTTTGGATGAGATGATCTTGACTTTCTTCTAAGATCAAATCAGGTGTCGAAGCTCTATTATAATAAAGCTTGGGGGAAGTTTTCTAATTTTTACTTTTTGTATAAACTGGGTTAATTGCCAAAATAGAATATGTTTCAGAACATTGTTCTGAATCAGCTTTAGAAATAACATTAATAGTTTTGGAGAGAGACCTAGTCTTAATTCTAGCGCTAGACTCTTCAGAGGCTTGAGGTGTATCAGGGATAGTCGTGAGCATACTAGTAATCTTACTGATTAGCTCATTCTAATTATCCTCAATAGCTTTGGATTTCTCTTTTTGCCTAAGCTCTAAGATTTTTTGTTTTGCTTTGGCATTAATCTTGAAAGGTTTGAAGAGAGGTTTTTCTAATTGAGTTTGAGAAGAAGAAATTGTTTCTTCCTCTTTAGGTTTAACAGGATTAACAGAGATTTTATCTCCTAAAACTTGAAGATACTTATTGGTATAATTGGCCTGTTCCATTAGGCCTTGGATATCATGAGAGTAATAGACTCATCAGGATTTTTGGTCTTAAAAGGAGTAGCAGTAACAGGATTATCTCCTTTGTCCTTTAGGTTTGGCAACTGATATTGAGTTGGAGGAGGCAGGTCATTCTGAACGATTTGTCCATCTTTGACCTGCCAAGAGATAACATTAGCAGAGGAAGTACTAATAACATCCTCTTGCCAGAGATAATCAATATTATTTTGAATAGTATAAGCATGAAACCAATAAAAAAATAGGATATTTTGCTCAACTTTTTCGAGAAATTTATAAAACTTCTTTTGGATATTAGATCTATTCTTACCCTTGTAATTCTGAAAGAACCATTCTCTTTGAGGTTTCCAATCCTCAGAGTAGAAATCTTTCCTAAGGGATTCCTTATCTATAATGAATTTATGAGACAATATCATAAGACTCATTAAGGGAGAAATAAGTTGGAGATTGAATACTTTGATTTTCTTCTTCCTTATTAGAAGTTTGATAAATAGTTCTAGGAATCCTAGAAGAAGTATTTAAACCTTGTAAGTTTATGGAAGGATCATGGTTAATAGATTTGGGAATTTCAAATCTAAAAGTGTGTGTGACTATATATATATATATATATATATATATATATATATATAAGCAATATTTCAGGATCATTAGTTTGTGGCGTTGTTACAGACAGGGACGATCATTACAAGTCTCACCCGAAAGGCCTGTTAGTTGTCCAGCCTATAAACCATGGTTATTGAAATTTCATAAAGGAAAATTAAAGTCCAGATTCAGAAGAACAGTAGTTATAAATAATCAACAGTTATATTGTTATGGAACCAAATGAGGGTGATGTGCCAGAATTTATTTTTATGATGTCTCATCTTTTGCGCTCCTTCTCCTGTATCTCCTTCCGTTCTGGGTCTAGTTCCTCCTCCTCCTCTCCAACCAAAAATAATCTCTTTAATGATAAGGAGAAACAGTCTCTAGAAATCACACCCAAACACAACCTCTTCGACGAAGAAGTTCGCTTCGAAGAGATCAACCAAAGTATGGATGACTGGACCATCCCAGAAATCCCTCAGGATACATTGTATGTTCCTGAAGAACATTCCAAGAAAAACAGTTTTGATTACATTATTAAGACTGTTGAGAACAATATTCCTTTAGGAAAATATTTAGGAGAAGAATTTCATCTCCTGTCCAAATCCTCCATCAATGAACACAAGCGCAAATACAAATACCTTCACATAGGATGTGTTCAGGTTGCAATTAAACCTCTCATAGACATAGGAATAGATGCTGCTATCCTCATGTGTCTTAGAGATGCTCGTCATAATGACTTCAATGACTCCCTTATAGGAACTGTTGAAACCAGTCTTGGCCAAGAACCAATCTATTTCAATTGCTTTCCCAACAAAATAGTGAGTCTTTTGGATGAGCATATTCTTGAAACATGAAAGAGGGATCTATTCCTTAATGTTTGCTTTCATGGGCTAAACATGAAAGAGGGATCTATTCCCACAACTTTAATCTATAAGATTCAGTATAAAGCCATGAACTCTTGTGCTTCTAGAGTCTTTCTTAAACCACAAAGAGGTGAGACTGCTTTGTTTATCACTGATATGACAAAGGCTAATGTGTCTCTCCCAAGAATCATCAAATGGGATGAAGTTTTCCTTCCTGAAAAATGGGTCTTGGATAAGGCTTTGCCTTGTGTCCCTAGGCCTGCTCCTCAAATCAAAAATATTTCTCAGGACAATTCTGGGAAAGTTGAGATAACCTTTGATAGGAGAAACTTCTTCTCTTCTAGAGTTGATGCTTATAGTGGTCGTTCTAGTTTTGCCTCTGCTAGGAGGTCTTTCTCTTACAGGTCTCAATCTTCTAGGTCTGAAATCGCTAGATCCATTAATCATGATCCTTCTATAAACCTACAGGGTTTAGATACTTCTTCTAGGATTCCTAGAAATGTCTACCAGACCTCTAAAAAAGAAGAAGAAAACCAGAGTATCCAATCTCCAACTTACTCTTCCCTTAATGAGTCTTATGATGTTATCTCATAAATTCATTATTGATAAGGAAACCCTGAGAAAAGATTTCTACTCTGAGGAATGGAAACCTCAAAGAGAGTGGTTGTTTCAGAATTATAAGGGTAAGAATAGGACCGATATCCAAGAGGAATTTTATCAATTTCTCAAAAAAGTCAAACAAAACATCCCATTCTTTGATTGGTATCATGCTTATACCATTCATAATAATATAGATTATTCCTGGCAAAAGGATGTTATCAGCACTTCCTCTGCTAATGTCATATCTTGGCAAATCAAAGATGGACAAATAATCCAGAGTGAACTGCCACCTACTACTCAATATCAGTTGCCCAATCTGAAAGACAAGAGCGGTAATTATGTCACTGCTACTCCTTTCAAAACCAAAAATTCTGATGAGTCTATCACTCCCAATGATATTCAAGGCCTTATGGAACAGGCCAATTACACAAACAAATACCTTCAAGTTTTAGGGGAAAAAATCTCTATTAATCCTGTTAATTCTAAAGTCGAAGATATAGCTTCTTCTTCCCAACCTTAATTAGAAAAATCCCTGTTCAAACCTTTTAAGATTAGCGCCAAAGCTAAACAAAAAATCTTTGAACTTAGACAGAAGGAAAAGGCCAAAGCCATAGATGACAACCAGAATGAGCTACTCAGTAAAATTACTAGTTTGCTTACTACTGTTCCTGATACTCCACAAGCCTCTGAAGAGTCTAGTGCCAAACCTAGGACTAGATCTCTTGCCAAAACTGTTAATGACATTTCTAAAGCTAATTCAGAACAATATTCTGAAACAGATTCCATTCTAGCTATTAACCCAGTAAATAACTGGAAGAACTCTTCCAAACTCTATTACCATAAAGCCACTGCTCCTGATCTCATTCTTGAGGATAAACAAGATTTTATCCAAAGTTTTAATTCTAATGATATTTATATTTGGAATATTGATGGATTGTCTGAATATAATATCATTGACAAACTCCAGAAAATGTCTGTTGTCGCTATGGGATATTTTACCAATCAAAATATGCCTGAAGACACAATTGTTTATATTTTAGTTGCAGGTTTTACTGGCCAACTCAAAGGATGGTGGGATAATTATCTCATTGAGACTGATAGAGAAAATATCCTCTCTGCAGTAAAAATTGACGATAAAGGTAAAATCATTGTCAACGATAGTGAACACCTCCCTGATGCTGTATATATTTTGTTATACACCATATCTCAACACTTTCTTGGTGACCCTTCTTTATGGAGAGAAAGGTCCAGAGAGCTCCTTTCCAACTTAACGTGTAAAACGTTAGGACATTTTAAGTGGTATAAAGATACCTTTATGTCTAGGGTCTTAACTAGAGAAGACTGTAATCTAGCCTATTGGAAAGAAAAATATCTGGATGGGCTTCCTAAGTCTTTCGGAGATCTTAAGCAGCAATTCCCCTAGTGGAGAGATCAATTATAATAAGTATGACTATGGTCAACCTACTGTCATTATAATCCATAATGCCGTTAAAGTTTGTCAAAAGGATAAACTTCAAAAACAGCTTGCCAAAGAGAAAGCCTTGAATAAGAAAGATTTAGGATCTTTCTGCGAGCAATTTAGTCTTCCATCTTGCTCCACCAAAAAGAAGAAACAGGCTCCTAAGAAAGAGGCTGTAGAAACCTACAAGAAGCCTTACAAAAGGAAGTACAATAGGAAACCTCCTTCCAAGAAACAAGGGGAAAGTGTTATTTCCACCAATATTCCCAAAAAACCCAGAATAGACGTAACCTGTTACAACTGTGGTAAACCCGGCCATATCAGTAAGTACTATAGGTTCAAAAAGAAAATTAGCAGTCTCAACTTTAAGCCTACTATAGAAGACCAGATCAACAATCTCCTTATTGAATCTTCAGAGGATGATTCTGCCAAAGAATCTGACGAAGACGTCAACCAAATCCAAAACGATGATCAAATTTCTTCTTCTGATAGTGATGATACTCTAGAAATCAATGTTTTGACAACAGAACAAGATCTTCTTATCGAAGCAATAAGCTCCATTTCTGATCTTCAAGAAAGAAAAGAATTTTTAAATAAATTCAAAGAGGTTTTAGAATCTAAACCCAAACCCAAAGAGTATTTTACCACAAATAAATTTGATATTACAAATATTTTCAAAAGATTAGAAAAGAATTCTAATATTAAACCAACCACTATTCAGGATCTCCAGATTGAGATTAATAATCTCAAGAAAGAGATCAGAGATATTAAAGAACAACAACAAATTCATCAAGTTATTCTTTCCCAATTAGAGGATGAATATTGAGAAGGAAGAACTTCTGGAAGATAATGATTCTGTAAAGGTCAATTCTGGTAATCTGGAAGAAACCTTTATGTGTCTG